AAGGTTGATGATTTCGATAAGAGTTCTTCCTGTACAAACAAATATACAGTTATTTTCCACAATTTACAAGTAGCACCATATCAGAATTTGTCATTGCGTAAAATTCATTACAAAAGTTATATAACGAGTGCTTAGTGTTGAGGCTTCTCCGTCTAAAAATCATTTTTCTTTCTCTGATGCTCATTTCGAACGATTCGAACGAAGTTTATTACAGAAGAAAAAGTCAGAACATACGTTTTTATACTCTTGTTTCGTTAGTTTTCATTAAAGCACTCTCAGTGATGAATACGGAAATGGTTGTGGAAATTGATTCTCGTCTGTGTTAGTCTTTCACCAGTTATATTAGTAAAGTTCATATTGTCAGAAACATAATACCTTAATGATTCTACTTAATACAATTACGTAAGTTAAAGTCTTGCTTTTGTCAATACAAGGAAATGACAAAAAAGCAATTTGGTGCACGCAGGTTGTATAAAAATTGGTTGTGCGTTGTTACATTGAAGCTTCATGATCTGTTCCTCCCTTTTGGATAATCCGATTAGGGGTGAACAGATTCAATTCGGCTTCGTACTATGCACTCTGTGTTGTGAATGGTATATATATATATATATACGCGCTAATGAAAAATAATATGATAATAACAATAATGATAATGATATAAATATATATATATATATATATATTTATATAGCCGAGGCATCATAATATTTTAGCTATAAGCAAAGACAATTTTTTATATAACTGATAATTATGCCGGAACGCAATGATAATATTTATCTACATATTCATATAGATAATTTTGTGCTATGATATCGAGCTTCAAGAGTGATCTGGTAGATTTGCTCATTAAGAGTATCTCATGTAGAGAATCATGTTCCTCTTTCCTTTCAGAAGAGTCGTGTTTCGCGTTTCTACTTTAATAGCATTTTTACAACGCAGGCATTGTTTTGTCAAATTTTTTGATTAGCGAAACGTGTCTTTATAAATTCATAGTATACACACGATCGACACAATAACTTCTCCATAAAGAAATTCATTTTGATTTACAGAGTCCAGTGTTAACAATTATTTCATGACGCGACACTTCATGTCTCATGCACATTCAACTATGAATATAATCACTTATTTCTGCTGACATATATAACAATAGGTGTATTGTAAGTTAAATGTTTAACTGTCTCTATCAAAGCTATCTGGTGAAGGCATAGGTTTTACATTTAGTGGCATTAACACAATGCAGCCTGATAAAAAAAAGAAGTATAAATGTAACTTGGTATAAAAGTGAAAAATTATTCTTATAACTACCAGCTGCTACAAGAACTAACAATAAAGCTTAGTCTTCTGTGTTTAGAGGTCTGCCATTGCATACCGTAAAAGATCTGCATATCTACCTATGCAATATAGGATGTTCACGAAATGACTTTTATCATGTTAGGAATACAATCAATAAAGTAATATCATTAAATGCAAAAGTAAATAGTAAGGTAATGATCATGATTTTTTCATTTAATAAGATGGATAGTATTTTTTTAAAGCCGTGAGAACGAACACTTTCTTTTTATTATCGGAAACTTCGAATTGACTATTATTATACCGAAATCAAAAGCACACCATTGAGATTAATTTTTTCAATAGAACATCTCTTATCCTTTTATATCAAAAAATTATTCTGATGTCCTAACGATGTAACATAGATATATTTTTATGGGGTAGATCAAGATTATATAAACTGAAATTTCTATCTACAGTGATAATGGCAGATATTTTATGTTTATACTATGATGAAAAGGTTTATAGTCTGTCATATTATCAATTTCAATTTTTCTTTTATTCATACAAGTTTCTCCTTTCGGTTGATTGTGTTTTCTGCATCTACAATCATACATTTTTAAAGGGAAAAGCTATGAAACGCGACATGTGCATAGCGTTCATCATCATACATCTGTAGTTAACAGTCTCGCATTAATATATTTACTTCACATAGCTTGCTCATGTGAAACATATACTAAGTAAAGCACTAGACCATAGAATAGTATAATGGTTGCCAGTAGCACCATGGATCGTCCTTAACATACATATTACCTGCCTATGACATACCAGAAAAAAAAGACGCAATGTGGTTTTTACAAAAAGCTTCTACTCCTTAAGTTTCGTACATAAGATTTTTATATAATACGTGTTTACAAATGGAAGCAGTTGTAAATACTGACACGATTCGAAAACTTACTTTTTGTAAAAACTACACATCTGTCATGTCATTGTCTATTAGAGTAATAATATTAGTTTTGTACCTTTAAATTAAGTGAGAGTAAATGATATTTATAATGGAAATTAATTAATTAATTAATGGTACTCGTATTTGTATTAATTCTTCATTGAGTTATAGTATTGCGGATGATCTACAATCCAAAATGTTTCGATCGTTTCTTCAATTAATTAAGCTAATTGTTTATCTTATAAAAAAAAATACGGAAATGAGTATAAAGCAAAATTTGTATATACTATTGCGTATTATTGTTTTGTTTCTATATTTTGTATAAATTGTTAAACAGAAATGCTCGATTATATTAATTTCTTTTATTTATGATAAATATACTGTATTACTTTATTGTTATTTAATATCTAATAATACTCCACATACATATAGAATTGTTCATGCTGAATCAATGTTATATTAGTTTTAAACTATTGTACGAATTCATTCTATAGCTATTATACATAGCTATAGCGTTTAGAAAAGTGTTTTTCCGACATGTTCACGGTTTGTTTTACAAACTATATACAATGCACATTTCATCACGTACAAATCCTGTATGAGAAAGACAAAAAAATATGAAAAAAGTGTAATGTGCTTCATTTAAGAGTTGTTTAAATATTTTTGTGGAAAAAAAATAAAGAAAGTCAAGGTTGTGCTTGAATATCTGATACTATCATTAGTTAGAGTGTAGCTTTCACACCACAGATAAATAACATCAGTTACATATCAAAAAAATCATTTTATTCACTTTTATGCTGACATTTCAAGTATTTGTAGAACAGTGCTTCACAGAATCTTTACAAGAGGACTTTATACTGTCATTTTGATAAAGATACTGTTATTCATTCCAATTTTTTTATCAATTTGTTTTCCTCATTAAATAATATTCTGAAATCAGAATAAGAAACACAAGTAGTACCGGAATTAATGTATACTTTTGTCAATAGAAACTTATTGAATATTTTCATTGTACACCTACAGCAGTGTACATGACCAACAGATTTAATGATACTTGTATGTACTACATGTATTTCTAATTCTACATTTTTATCACAATGGTTGTCATAATGGTTGTCACTATAATCGCCACATTTCATATAAGAAATCATACAGATTTATTTATAAAACTCATTAATAATATTGGTACAATAAATAACCATTCATAACAAATGGTTGTTACTCTTTATTCCATTGTATCATCATTACCTGGTTGCGTTAAAAGTAAAGTCTTTTCAATATCAGAACATATCTTTTTTATGCCATTGGGTGTAGCATACTCTGCTGCTAAAATAGCATTTGCTACTGCTATTGTTTCTTGTATAGTCCTTGCTTTTACCCATACTCTACCATTCATTCCAGCAGCTACTTCAAATGCCTGACTACGCGCTAATGTATTAAATAGTGGAGAACTTTGGTTCAATATTTTTCTGATAAGACTCAACGAACATGTGAACAGCATACCATCAGAACTTAAAGCACCTAATTTCTTTTCTTTGCCATGAGAATCTACGCATACAAGTTCTGGTTCCATATCTTTGCTGGCAATTAGAAGTTTTGCAAAAACTAGGTCACCGACTTGAATATCAGGTCGATTTTTCTTTGTGGCACCTTCGAATGCCAAATACGAAAGCGATGCTTGTTCGCTAGCTCCTATGTCTACTTTAAAAATATCACCGCCTTTTTGCGTGATTATACCCACTACATTTTCTCCACGATTTGGCACATACCTGTGAAATGTTATAGTAACGTATAAATAAACAAAACTTATTGTTTAAAAAATGAATCGCCATTACCGTTTCTGATAACTGTCTACATAGTACACGGCTGGACTTGTTTTTCTCAATACACCCGCCTTATATGCAAAAACTGTGTCAGATTCTCGTCGAAGACCTGGTCCTAAGACTATTGTTTCTTTTTTGTTAATCGTTGCAATATCCTTTACAATATCACCTGGCATTACTATGTCTCCTACGCTGACTTCCATCATTCTTTTAGGGCGAATAGCTTGTTTCGTAAGTTTACATACATGTACCATTCATAGATTACAATTTCAAATATATTTTAACATAAATTCAATTAAAATCTAATTTTACAAACACAGTTTTTGGTTACATTATGCTGTACCACGTGCGATCCTCCGTGACAAGCTCCCAATGTTTTCTGCTAATGTCTCGCGCGCTCATTCGAATGCTGTCTCCGAATGCGCACTGTAATTTACATAAATTGGTGTAACGTCAATGGTGCAATCATTGGTTGAAGAAATTTTTCATTTATCATTAAATTAATAAAATAACTCTTATACTTTCCATTGTCCATATGAAATTTCAGATAATTCACGTTCTTGATAGCTGTGAAGCGAAGGAAAACGATTGCCGCGTAAACCATTTATGGACTGCACAAAGTTCAATTCTCTTTTCCTACGCCTATGAGAAATAGTAGCGCCACCACACTACGTCGGGAGGCTGTCGCGTGAAACGGTAACGCCACGGAAATCGCGGTCGTACTTGTGTTTTTTTCACCGATCAATTTTATCCGAAGACAAGTTGACCAATCGACAGATCTGTGGATGGCACAACAAGATCGTCGAGGGTGACACTGATGCCAAGGTAACGTTTCACGTTTCCGTAAAATCGGTACACGCGGAAATTTGCGCAGCACTCGCCGGATCGATAATTGATTTGCGTGTATTCTATTCTAACCTACCTTCCCGCTCCCTCCTAAGTTATTAGTTCAATCACGTCATATTGTCGATCGATTCGCTTGAGATTTAGCGGAGATTATGTGTTGAGTACGAGGCGCGATTCTGTTGATTTATTTTTCAATCGCGGGAAAGATAATCTTTAGTCAAGTTTTCGAATGTAACCACAACGGCTGTTATGCACTTACTGTCATCCGTTATCGAGATACTCGTTAACTCTGTAATCTGTATAGAAATGTCTGGCTACTGTGGCTATATAGAAAACGTATATTAAGATTCTTCGAAGTTCCCTGCCTTTTCCGATCTCACGAATCTTCGAGTTCAAGTGCAAGGTTTATGTGTTGACTCGACCGACACTGGTAAACTTAATACGTTCGCTACCGCCATTTCTTTTCGTAACAGTCTTCGTAAATAAAATATTTTAATAAACGCAGCATATGCATTTTATGAAATACTGGAAAGAATATAGTAGAGAGGAACCGTTGCTCTCCTAATATTATGCCATGCGTTCTAAATTTAAGTAACAACGTGTTTAAAAATGATTTAATTTCCTTTGCGCGAAACAGGAGATTACTATTCTATGTTTTTTTTTACAGGTGTGATACAAGATGTACAATGGTATTGGATTACAGACACCGCGTGGTTCTGGAACAAATGGACACGTTCAAAGAAATTGGGCGATTGTACGCAAAACGAAAGAAAAGGTTACTTACAAGACCGACGAAGGGAAACTAGATCAGCTGAACAAGCAACCTAACAAGGAAATTCTTGATCATGTTAGGAAACGGAAAGTTGAAGTTAAATGTGCTGAGCTGGCTGATATACTGGAGGAACAAGGGTAAGCGCGTTGATGGATAAAAGCATATAATTATATAAGGAAATCTTGACCGAGAACTTGTAATAATAATTTCTTTCGATGAAGATCGTATATAGCAAATACGAAGCTTCATTGATTCCTTGAACCCAATACCAAATGGGATTCCAAACTTCAATTGGATTTAGCTTACCATTGGCTTCAATGTATTCTTCTAACACAATATGTTGCTTCCACAGCTTATAGCACAACCACCGCTGGGTCAGTTGTTTAACTGAATCTTTATGTTTTATAGTTTTACAACTGAGGAAGTAAAAAAGAAAGTAGAATCCTACAGATCTATGTTAATGGGAAGCGAAGCCAAGCCGCCAGTACCTCGAGATGAATTCGGCCGAGTGAAGTAAGTACATTTTACTTCTTTTTCAATTCTATATTCTCACCTGTGTATCTTTCACGATGTTAAAAATCATCCTAAAAATATTCGTACGAAAACAAATAAACGCAACGAATCGAACGTACTAGAACGCATCGAATCTTACGAATTACTTAATTAAATCTTTCGTGCAAGTGAGAGTTAGAAAATATACGGAGAAGAATTATTTTCGGTGACGCCTCTAGTAATCCAGCATAGTGTCTATATATAGCGCCTAGATGATAGAAGACCAGTATCTATATCTTGTGTGCCGTCAGGCTTTCCTTCCAAAAGACTGCTAAGATCTCGCATGAAAGGGAAGCTTCAAATATTTACGCGAGTGTCGCGAAGACGTAAGGACCAAAGCTTCTCGATCCTCCTTCTCTTAACAGTTAAAAAAATCAGATCATACATTCATTGAATTACGAACAACACCGAGGCTTGCAATCCTAACGATCCACCGTTCCAGAATTTACCAAAAATACCAGCTACTCTCAAAGAAATTGACTCGTAGCCAAGTATTACGAACGTTAAGCATTTTGGAAGCACGTGATATCTCCGGAGTCCACCCCCATGCGATAACGGATTTCAAGGCGACATGTTCGCGATCTGGCGATGCTCGGAATAGTCGGGAGTCCATTTGTATAAAATAAAAATGGGAAGTTCACGGCTATCGGTTCGTAGATAATACGTTAAGCCGAGTCACGTGAGCGCGATCCCGAGGAATCCGCAGCCCCTCGGTAGAACGCAGTTTCCCGGTAAGCCCAATATTATTGGAGGGCGGAGACGGTCGCATTCTCGGGCCGGCATTTAGGGGTGTTGCGCTGCCGATATCGACGTACCCCATGGCGCCGGCGCCACCCACGAAAAGGGAGGAGAGGCAGAGGCAGGCGACCGGGGGTGGGCACGGAAAGCGAAACGGAGACGCGCGGAGGGGCGAGGGTGAGTTTATTCCAGCATCTCACTCGACTTTTCCGCCTCAGTGCGAGGATGGACCGGCGTTGCGACGCTGCGCGCCGTCGGCTCTCGTCGGGTGCACGGATCCTCCGAGGATAATCGGGATTCTCGGCGAGACTCGGGGAACTGGGAGTTCCGGTCGAAACGAAAAGGGAACATGTAACGGTCTCGTGATACTCTCGTAAACAAAAAACCACACAAATCACAAAAGTCTTCCATTAGCGTGTATCTAGTTCGATACTTCTAATCTATAAGTAATTCGTTAAGTGAATACGATAATAAGCAACGGCCGCGGCTCCGAAGTGTAGTTTAAGGTATCGACGTAAGATTACAGAAGATCCTCGCGAACGTACCAACAGCTCGTACTCGTCACGGCACGCGTAACTCTGGCGCACGCGGATCGAAGCGGAACGTTTGTCAATAAGGATAAAGAGGAAGCCAGGAGGCCAGAAGCGAACGAGAGGAAGCTAGTCCGAACGGTTTTCCGCGAGAGGATAAGAGGACTCGTTGGCCGAAGATTTGCCCGCAGGACGCCCCACGTGTCCACGATCGATCAATAGAGAGCGGCTCGAGTGATTCGCGAGAGATCGGATCCGTTTTTCTTTTCTATCGTAAATCCATGTGTCTCCAGGTCGTTCGATCGACGATAACTACGTTAAGACGACGCGTCGTGCCTCGAACGAGGAGCACGACCATAGTGTGCCTGATCTGAAGTCTTCCTTAGTCCGGCTAAGTTAGAGTAAGACGATATCGGTCTTCCTATATTCTTACATGAGACGTTGAGATATATACATATATACATACATATATATATATATATACACACACACAAACAGTGTTAAAATAGATAAGAGTATAACATTGAGATTTATCGTGTGTCCCGTTGATGGAACGATTCCCAACGGAGACGCGGGGATAGAGGATGATTAAGAGCGAGTGAACGAGAGAGAAAGAAGAAGAAGAAGAAGAAGAAGAAGAAGCCGACGTCTCGACGTTGATTACTTTCGGAAGAAAACAATCGAACCCCCTTTCCTTTTCTTCTTCCGCTGACGCGAGGACAACCCAGTCTGCGAGGCCGACGTTTTTCATCATCTCTGCCGGATGATTGTTCTCGCGTTGGGACAACAGAAATTCTGAATACAAGGGACCCGTCGTAATCGGGGGAGGAAGCCATTACCTTCGCCTCGAGCCTCGCCCCCTCCCTTCCCTCCACGCTACCCCAAACTATCAAAGCCACCCTCGAGGAGGGATTAAGCCGCGTCGGAACTGCTTGCACACCGTCGGCGGCCGGCGGAGCTCCTTAACGCAAATTAGCGGCCGATCGGCCTTAATGCTCGGCCAATTACTCGACGGGCTAATTATTCAGGGCCGGAGATTGTCCTCGGAGGCCGCCCCCGTCGCCGCGACAAATTGGATGACGAACGGAACGAAATTTCGCGACGAATTAGGCCGACGTTCGGAAATCGTCGAGAGGGAATCTCGCGTGAATTTCAACGAACGAGGAACCTCGAATTTCGAGGAGGACCGAGGGTTTCGAAATACACGTTTACATGGGAAGGATAATTGCTCCTTGGAAGGGAGTTGTAGCTCGAAGATAGAGAATCTTTTGTAAATGGAAACTGAAATCTGGCAATTACCATTATTCGATTGACGACGAAGATCCGGTGAATTGAAAGAGAGAGGGGCCATTTTTAAGTCGAAGTTGATCGCATACGATTCGTTTTGGAGATTTGATTGTTTTTTGGAGCGAGATTCGCACTGTAAGGGAAAAGGAATCGTTCTCCTTTCCACCGGAAGTTGATCAAGGGAATGACCATGTCCGTGACGGTACCGTCCCCGCTGAAACCGGCGCGCGGCCGCGGCCCGGCCGACGGCCGCGCCTTCTTCGAGACGCTGTGGCGCGGGAACTTCTTCCTGGACCGGCAGAAAGTGATGAAACGGTCCCGGAAACGTAAACTGCAAGCGGCGAACGGAAAGAAACGTGCACAGCTGCAGATGCGACAGCACTGTTGCTGCTGCCAGCGCATACAACTTCACCTGCTCGCCGGACGGCGAAGCAACATGCGCTCCGTCGTCAGGTGAATCTCTTTCGATTGAAGTACATTCAGGCGGGATTGCTTTTAAAACGCCTGGGAACGGTTGGTTCACGGATCAAATGGAAATCACTGATTCTGGGCTCGTTAAACGTATCGCTACAGGATAGATTCCTTTCGAACGATCCGCAAGTATGTCGATTCGCGCGAATTAGTATTCGAATGTTCGATTATTAAGGCACACGAATATTAGATAATATTATGTTACTCGAAGGTTGATAGGTTCTTCGATGAGCTACGCGGATTGCATTAATTAGCGCGTTGAGATTTCAAAACGAGAACACAGAACAATTCCACTTAGGAAGCCTGGATTAGTGCCTTCTCGCGTACATTAGAAGGGCAATGAGAGGAATTGGGTTTCTCTAGCCGCAGATTATCCTTCCACTTGTCTTGCTAGGCCATTCGATACCGCTAGTAGCGCGCACTCGCGTATAAATCGAGAAAATAGTCCAACGTATCCCCGCAGCTATCTGTTTCTCCGTGTTTTTTCTCTAGAGTTTTTCACGATACCTTCCTATCTCGCTGAATCTTGGCTCGAGAGCCACGAAGGAGATACCATAGAAGATCCTCCTCGATCCTATTTGCCGACAAGTTGTCAGCCGCACCGAGAATGCCTGCCCCGCATAATTTCTCTCGGTACACGAACACTCGGCTCCCGATAATACGGCGGAAAAGAACAGCGCGAAATTCCACGGCGCATCTGCCGTTGAAAAAGCGCCAGGGGCTCGGGCCTGGGATTAAAAAGGCAAACGGCCTTCCTCCGCGTGCCGACCGCCGGGGGTGAGTCACACTGTTGACTCCCCGGTCCCTCGCAAAAGAGAAACATTTCCGCGTGAGCAAACGTTACCCTTTAACACGCCGTAATCTCTCCAATTAACCACGGTCCGCCGTGCTCTCTTTCCCCGTGAACGTCAGGAAACCCGAGTTAGCGAAACTACAACCCTTAATCTTAGATCGAACGGGGCTGAAACTGAATCGACCCAAAACGCCACCGCAGATTCCTCGCAAAAAAAGACCAACGAAAACTACGAAACCTAATCAGAAACCTCGACTGCCCCTAGTTCATCCCCTAAGCCGTATCTGGAAAGAGTCCAAGGTCGCCGAGGTCGATACAAAATCCCAACGAAAAGAAAAAAGCTTACCCGGTCCACACTTTGCCGTACGATTAGACGACGCAACGAGCTGCGTGAACTCGCAGTGGACCAAACGCGAAAGGGGATGATGGGGCGGCGTGCTCACGAGGAAAGATCCGAAAGGTTATCGAAGAAAATAGCTTGAAAGTAAGAAAAAAAAATGGAAAAGGAACCCGAGCACCGTTCGATCGATCCCGGTAAGATAGCGCGCGGTAGGGGTAGGTTAAAAGGGTAAAAAAAATATTTTCCCGTTGACCCCCCGGCCACGGGGCGCTGTGGAGCGAAGAGGCAGCGGTGGGGAACGGGAAGGTGACTTGCGAGAGAGGTTGCCTCCTGAATTTGAGCGTGCAGCGGGCGAGTGGCGCGAAAGGGATACCAGAAAAGAGAACAGCTGGATTGTATTGATCCGCGCTCGAGCGCGTTGGCGTAGGGGTGGCTCGACCGACCCCGGCCTCTCTCGCTCGCCGCTCTTCGCTCGCGGGGAAGAACAGGGGCCGCCGCCGCCGTCGCCACCGCTGCCGCTGTCGCCGCGATTTCACCTCGCGCCGCCACACAGTCCTCTGTCTCTTTCCCCGGTGTTATGTCACTGGTTTTGCCGCATTGTCCGGACGCCTGAGCCATCATCGCCGCGGCCACGGGATCCGGCGTTCACCCTTCGCCGCCCTATGCCGGAGAGGTCTCGCGGGCACATCTGTGAATCGTCGCGGTGTTCGGCCAGCCCGGTGAATCCCGTTCGCGCGACGATGACGGTGAAAATCTCGACGCGGTACGGACAGTTCATCCCCCTGGCAACCCGGGCAAGGCCGGGAGAAGTCCTTAGGACGTCGGAACAGGGTCACGGCGCGCCACCCTTTCTCTATTTATTTTTACCCGTCGCCTAACTTTCCGAACGTTCCGCTGGTGTCCCGAAAGTTCCGTGTGTGTCTCGATGGCAGCTCGCTGTTGTTGTTCCCTCGTTCTCGATCGTCCTCGGACGTGCGGCTCCTTGGATCACGTGTTCAGGGCGCACGGCAGGAATAACCGGGGTTTCCCTGGGACCGAGTTCGGTCCATTTCCGTGCGGTACTGCTCGAGGGATGCACTCGGTGCAACTCGCCTTTGCTGCGGAGTGATCACGCATTCTTTCATCGGCGATCAGTGTAGGCTTGGACCTCTGTGGCTGTTTGTGCTCGCAGACACCGTTGACGAAAAGTATTTTGGAAGAAGCTAGGACTGTGTTGTAATTGGTTGTCTGTCGGGGAATCGGGGATGCTTTTTCGTTGGCGATGAGAATAGGACGGTGACAGTTGGATAAATATAGTTTCAATGGAAATCGATATGTTATTTTGGAGACATCGGACAGCCGGGTTGAGGAGATTTTTCGGTTGCTCGTATTGTCGTCGCTTGTGAGATGGAAAGTGTCGGGTTTTTTTGGTTTGCGGAGAGATAATTCGTTGATGAATTTCGTTGAGTTTGTTTTAAGGAGGATTTAATGTAGCTGGGGGTTTGATTAAGGAGAATCTTGATACTCCGTGGATCGAAACGAAGAGGATTAATTGGAATTGTTCTTCCAGCGTTCGTGAGACACATCAGATTGCCGAGGCGCAGCAAGAGAAAAATGCTAAGCTACGAGAGGCATTCGGTATATCGGAGTTCTTCGTGGAGGGAAGTAGCCTAGATCCGGAGAGGCACGCGCGCGAAGCCGAGGCGAGAGCTGCTGCTAGCAAAGTGTATGAATTGGTGAGAACCCCGAGCCCGGCGCCCGACACCACGTCTGCCCCAGAAAAGAAGAAACGAAAACGCTCCGGTAGCACTAGCAAGAAGAAAAAGGGGAAGAAGCACAAGAAGGAAAGGTAAAAGACAACGTAATGGTGCACGGGTCAGTGGAGGCTGGATTCAGTGCTGATGCTTATTATTGAGAGACAATGTGCCACTGACACGCTATAGTAGTCATATTACTGCATTGTACCATAGTATATTGAATAATAATGCGGGACACACAGTTGAACGCGTTACAATCAAATGTTTCGAAGAACAAACGGGATTAACGGGACTCGCGTTCTTTCGGTGGATGCAAGATCATTGTGGTATTGTCACAAGAATCGAGATGGAAATTTGGAAGGATTTTCACACGTTTCCCGATATTTGACTCTAACTAATTGAGCTGTGCATCCTGCTTACACTGTATACTATAGCATAGCGGTAGTACTGTGACGTTACACTACAGCAGACTATAGTATAATAGTATCGCAATAGAACATTATATTATAGTACAATGTTGTAAAACATGTGCTATAGTCTAGTGAATTAATCGTATTAACAAGTAGTCGTCTCTCGATGAAACATTGGTGAAGAAACGCGCAGGAATCCAGGCTCCAAGACCGAACAAGCGTCCCCCCGTAGTAGTTCCTCTCCTCCCTCAATTAATTATTCATTTACCGCAAGTCCACACTCGTTCATTTGCTTACTACACACCTCTTGTCAGATACTGATTCATGACTCACCTACTATTTCATGTCCCATACACCTTTCTCTGTTTCAAACAGAACTGAGGAGGACTGAGTGCCTACCCAGTAGGCTCAGTAGGTAAGTGTGGTCGTCGCGTCTACTTTCCGAAACAAAACAAAACAAAACAAAAAAATAAAATAAAATGAAATGAAATGAAATGAAATGAAATGAAATGAAATGAAACGAAAAAAAAACATTCTTAAAAAACAGTGTAAAATGAGAAAAAAGAGATCAGTCGAGTCCGTCCATTGCCTTATGTTTGGGTATTGTCTTTCTTAGGCGCAACTAGAGGTAAATGTTTGCTATACTGCGATTTATGTAACGTTAGCGAAATGTTTTCATTTTCTGCCGAGAATAATAATAACAGATACATTGTAATAGGCAAACATTTACTTAATGTACAAGATAAACGCGGGATTTTTTGAACAATAACATAACAATCTGATGCGTAAATCATGCATTTCTATCTTTGTTGTTGTTATCGATAAAGCTTGTTGTTAATGTCATCTCTCTATTTTTTTCTGACAAGTCCGTCCCTATCGATGGTTATCAAGGTAATGCTAATCCCATATTATATCAATACTCCTCATATTTTGTATACTTGTCTTTTGTGACTTTTGAAAGATGTGGTTTTACGTATGTACCATAATCGCGGCTGGTTTACATGAAGTGTTAAACGGCTATGAAAAACCAGATCTCTCAAATAAATAATTATGTAGTCGGTTTGTTAGCTATAGCCCAATCTTGTGACTTTCACCTGTATATGTATCGTTGTATTTACATTATTATTTTTCTCTTTTTTTCTCTTTTTTTTTGTTACTTAATTCACTTGAGATTGCAGTGAGAGAAAGAGAAAAAAACTTTTGTTCTTGTCTAATTATCGATAAATATTTAAAGTCTCCACACACTGCATTTCCTATACATATACGTATACGTATAAGTTAGTTATTTTTGAATTATAAATCCTGATCCAGACGCTGAAATAGTTCAGTCCGAAAACGTTCCGTCAGAGTACACATTCTGAATTACTTTCAAATGTTTGTTCATTACTTTGATCGAGCTCATTGAAAGCAGGTAGCTTGTATCATTAGAATAAAGTATTTGTTTCACACACGGATACATTGTACTACAGCTTTCTTTATTGTCAGCACAAGGTATGCACTTGTCGACAGGAAGACGCCCA